ACGCAAAAAAAAAATGAGAGGGCCCCCCCCCCCAAAAAAAAAATCCTTTGTTTGAGATAGTGCAAAAGATTAAAAAATTTTGCATTACTATGTATGTGATGGAACATGTACTAGCCTTATAAGACAATTTGTTATAAAAATATTTGGTTGCCCTCTCTCCCGAAAAAACAAACATAGAAATGGCCCGACTCATTTTTTTTTTACATCCCATTACATGTTTTTTTTTTCTTCCGTCAACGAATATGTTTAAAATTTTAGGAATTTTTTTCTCACCTATAAATACGGACCCGATCAATTTTTCCTGAGTTGGGAGGACCACCAAACGTCATTTTAAAGATGGTATAAAATATTTATTAATGTTGATTTTTTTCTTTACTCTGTAAAATTGTAATTTTGACAAAAAGGGCAAATAGAAAAAGTTTTTTATTCATTAAATCTCCTAACCCACTCTGAAGGATTTCCCCCCTTTTCAAATGTTGCTCCGCTAAAATCAAAATTGTAAATGTTTATTTGACAGACTATACGATGGTAGATCAAAAAGTAAACGATATATCTTAGGTATTTGATAGTTATATTATTGTTGAAATATTCAAGTATTTTTCAAAGTGTAAATTGGAGGTCTTTGATAGCATATTGCTTAATTAAAAACACATCCCTTTTCAAACTTGCTAATATATCACTGGGCAATATAACAAGTATCATATTTAACCATCTGCCTTCCTTCACTAAAACGATCTATCCAATCATTGATTGAATTTGTAGGAAGTCATTTGTCTTAATAAATTATGAACAAATTCTTATATGCTACTTCAAAGGCATTTTTAAGATATACCATAAATATTTTAGTCGTTTGTTAAACGAGTTCCACTGAGGCAACCATTTTTCGTCACAAGTACCTGCATAATGACGTCATTATGAGCAAAACTTTATTCAGCATATGCTATTTTATAGAACTTGTGTTTGGCTATGTGTGCACCAAATTTGTTTCTAATCTGAATTGTGGTTTTGTAGATATAGAGATAGTTCGCGAACTTTTTGATCACCCCTCGTACAAGTAGGTACTAAATCAAGGTCATTCATATCGATTTTATGTGTTTAATTTCTTTGTGTTTCATTGGTGATAATTAAAATTTTGATATATATTATATGTTATCTGTGGCAAACTTACAAACTCTTAATTCTTAACTTTGATGGTGCTCATTTTCCTTACCTGGAATCAAAGAGTTTAAGATTTTTTTCTTTGATATCAATAAGTACATTGTTTAACAACTGTTCGATAATAATACTAAATAAATTACTTCAAGCCATACTATAACACATTTCCTCTTTTAAAAGTGTTCATACTATTTGAAATATTTTGCAACTGTAATTCTCTTCTACATTTAAAGATTGTTATGTCCCTCCATATTAAGAAGAGGTCTGGAAAACAAAATTCTGTGCTAAAAATAGACCACGTGCTGCTATGCATGAACTACTTTCATGGTTCTTTAAACTCTTTATGAAGACAACGATACCTTGTTTGGAACTTGAAATTATCATTTAAAAGTGCAAAATTTAGACATTTTCTCAACAAATGGTTGTAGAGAGAACATTGATGCACAGTTTGCATATTTTTTTTAGATTTTTTAAGGCCCTGCTGAATTCTGTAGCTGCGCAGTTCTACGGAGCATATCAAAAGTATTTATCTGCAAAAGTATAGATTATACCGGGTATATGCACAACATGCATTCAGTTATGCATATTTATTGTATCTTTATCATAAGGACTTAAAATTTGATCAAAATATGATGTATTTTAGCCATTTGAAGAAATGTTTACATTTTGTTCTCACAGCACTAAAGGTGGCCGTACATCCCCCTTAAGTTAATAAAATGTCAATTTGCAGATTTATTTCATATTAGACAATTTTTGTACTTAATCATACTCAGATACGAATCGGTTTATGAATTGTAAATCATTTATACAACTTTTTAATTTGTTTGCGCGAGTGACCTAAAATTCTCTCTATGATGGAGAGAACATATTTTCCCCCATTTGTCCACATTGTAAATTAAATTCTTAAAGGTACTTGGACACAGATTTGAAGTTAATATTTTCTCATTTTTTCTGTGTAATATCACGAATTATATATTTTAATAGCATTTCACACAAAAATTAATTAAAAATCTTATTTCATTTAAAAGTTATTAAAACTTAAAAATTTTTTGCGGTTTTGATTGACACATCCTTGCACTTTTTACAAATGTTAACTTTATTCTTAATCCATAGGAAAAGTGGCAATTTTGTCGTGTATTATTGAGAAATATTAAAACTTAAATCCACAAAAATAATTTTATTCAGAGTAGAAATGTTAGAAAGCAAAACACTTTCACAAGTATCGTCATTCCGAACTAAGAGATGCGTACAGAGTTTAGCAAATCGAGCACACTTGTTATGTACACAGTTTTTGTAAACAGGGCTCGAGTTCTGTTATTGTTTATATTTAGAATTCACCGGGTTTCAATTCACAGTTGCTTACCACAACTGCACGGACTGACAATATATTGTGTGTTTGTTTTGCTTTCGAACGTGTCTACTCTGAATTTTCTGGATTATAGTATTAATATTTTTCATTTATACAAAACGAGATTGCCACTTTTCCTAAGGATTAAGAATAAAATTAAATTTGTGAGAGTGCAAGGATATGTCAATCAAACCCGCCGAAAAATTTGAAATTTCAATATCTTTTAAACGAAATAAGATTTTTAATTAATTTTTGTGTGAAATGCTATTAAAATATATAAGTCGTAATATTATAGAGAAAATAATAACTTCAAATCTGTGTCCAAGTACCTTTAAGTGTTTATTCCACATCTACAGGTCATTATCAATTACATTTGAAATGAAATTCACCGTAAAATTGGCTGTTATTGCATGTACAGAAATGTTACCAATGCCTTTTTTATCATCAGGTAGGTTTTAATCCATTCTTCTGTTACCTGAACAAGGATCAATTGTTAAAAATAAATCTTAATTACAATATTTAACTTGCAGTGATGTCATATAAGTGAATGTCAATTTAGTGAAAATCTGCATGATTAAGTCACTCAGGTGACATCTCACGCAGTTTGTAGACCAACGTCATCTGACCCAGGCCATCTTCAAAAACTACAACACGCAATTTGTTTAATGCGCCCATATCGATATATTGTTCTTGTCCTGTCTGTCTGCTTGTCTGTCTGTTGTCAATTTTAACCTTTGCCATAACTTTTGAACCATAGGAGACTTCATACTTAGTTTGCATATTCCACTAATAAAGTTCTTTCAAATGACACCAAGATCAATGACCTTGTGACCTTGACTGTGACCTAAAAATAGTTTTTTAAAAAGTGCTAAAAATAGATTTTTCGAACTTTCACAATACATTTTGGATCATAGGAAATATCTAGTGACTTCATATTTGGTATGCATATTATATATTGAACTTATTAAGTTCTTTCAAATGACACCAAAGTCAATGACCTTTTGACCTTTACTGTATATGCTAAACATAGCTCTTTTGAATTTTATTGCCGCCAGGTGCATAGTTTTTCACAAACGCATCTCTTTTTTTTTTGTCCTGTCTGTCGATCTCTTTTTCTCTCTGTCTGTCTGTTGTCAACTTTAACCTAGCCCTTAACTATTGAGTGGGTGGGGATATGGCTTTCATATTTCATACGTGTATTCCTTGTGACGATAACTTTCTTTGAAAATCACCAAATTTGACCTCTTGACCTTAGAGTTTGACCTACTTTTAGAAAAAAAAACACACTTTAACCTTGGCCATTGCTTTTGAACAGTTGAAGCTAGGGTCTCCATACTACACAGGTGTATTGATTGTGACAAGACTAGAGTTGGACCCACTTTTTCAAAACTTAACCTTTGTCATAACTTTTGAACGGTTAGAACTAGGGATTTCATATTTCACTGATCTATATCGTATAACAAGACCTTCATTTGGGCACCAACCCTTGACCTTTTGACAATGACCTCGCCATAAGCTGCCGTACGGGGGCATCAGTATTTCACAAACACAACTTGTTTATCTTAACAATCTGTTCGTTTATATTTATGAACTAATTTTTTTTCTGCTACATTTTATATTCTCTGTTTCTACAGCTCTTCAGTTTACCACGATTTAAAAATGGAAGCTATCAGTCTCGACAAACCCAGATCGCATTTTACCGTTTCTTTGATACTTTGAGTGTTTTCACTCCAGATATATGGCAGAAAACGATAATTGTATTTTTCAACTATTGAAAATAAACAAAGAGTTTAAAAAGTCATTGGAAGAGATATCTCTGACATTTATCTTGTAACAGGTATTAATATATACATAAGCCAGTGTTACATGAGATCGTGACACAATGCAGACGACATTCCGCGGACGTGTCACCGGGGAAAACTCAGCTTCCGATTAATTGAATTCGTTGATGATGTTCTGATATCGAAACATTTACTCAAATCAACGCATCCATTTCATACTTTTTTTACGGAAGTATCAAATGCTGTGTGTGCACATATCGTTAGAACAAATACATCTAACTCCAGTCCTCTAACTAAACATTGTAGTCCATTAACGACTGAACTGGTGAGAAATTGGTCGTTAGATTTTTATTTATTTTTATGGAGGTTGAGCTAACCTGATTTTTTACCGGTATATAGGCGGTGAATTCTGTCCTGTGAGTCGACTCTCTGTGTCCGCGGTTTGTTCGATTAAGACTGTAGCGATCTCTGGTAACATCATAGCGCTCCTACTGCTGACGGAATTCTAAAGCATATTAAAACAGGATTATTGTAGTATTGATTCAGAGAAAAAACATGAATAAGAATTAAAACATGTTTACAAGAAAGCCTCAGTGAAGTCTGCAATATACGTAGAATGTTCCTCTGAAGATTTTAAAGAAACTGTGTGACATGTGTGGACTTTACGGGGAATTGGCGATGAGGCGCTATCATTCTATGATCCTTTTTCCTTGTAGTATGAAACAAATCCCCTTCACCGTGCCCACTCAGACCACATCCTTAGGAAGGAGGATAGAGAGGGGGTCGTCCGAGGAGTTCCGGCCCGGGGAGGGGGCTTATCGGAACCCACTTCACCGCTCAACGTCAAACGGCCTTCTGTTGAAATACCAGGTAACTCTCTCTCTCTCTCTCTCTCTCTCTCTCTCTCTCTCTCTCTCTCTCTCTCTCTAATGTATTTCTACTGCTATACAACAATAGGTCTCAATAGACGAGACACTGTACAAAACCAGATTCTCTCGTTATGTTCTCACTGTGAGAAATGTGCCACAGCTTACTCTTACGTTTTATGTGTGCCCCGTGATTAACTCCACAAAATGTATGTTTTGATGATATGATCAACTTCACAGTAGATGATGTTTTACTTGAATAATTTGTTTTTGAAACCAAACGTAAAGGAACTGCCCTCATATTGATCTTCTTTATCGATACATTACCTTAAATGCATTTAATAAAATTATAATGAAGGGAAAAAAAATTTTACGAGGGCAGAAAATTATTTCTCTGTCTTATTTCATACTGCATCATCAGGTTTGCTTCACTGTCAATGTGCTTTTGTTAAAAATTTTATATACTCTTCAAATCTCTTTTTTTTTCTATATACGAAATAAAACTTCGATGATTATCGGTCTATCATGAAAACATATTTTCCGACCCAGGCGCAGGGTCAGGTTAAAGATTTTTTGATGCATCAGTTGTTTTTATTTAGAAGAATCCATTATTATTAAGTCTCCTTCAGTACAATGGCTCCACGAGAGAAAAAAGTTGGGATCGGTGTATCCCGAGGAACCAGTTCCGGTGTAACGAGTCTCTTCAATCCGCCTGAATAGACACTATGCGAGTCGTTAAAAAATGTGCCCGCCAAGACCCAATAATTGAAGATCAGTTGATCAGACACAGACCTTCAGAATTGTAGGGGATTTTTTCTAGAATCTGTCCTGGTCATCAAATTTAACTGTTTTTAACGTAATTTTGCGCTGCACTTCTTTTGCTCTTGAAATTTCATAAGTATAGAATTATAACTTGTTAATTCTAATTCATTTACTTTGTGATATTTTGCTTCTTAATGTACAAAATACGTTAAATTGTAAACTTGTTACTACATGTAGTCTCATTAAAATGATGAGTAAAAATTCATGCGTAAAGAACACGCGTTCTTCTTTTAAAAGACAAGCGCTTTGAAGTATTAGGTCAGCTTGGAATTCGTGTTGATAGAAATGCCCATGACGTGCCCGAAAATCAAATCCTCTCAACATATCAATTCTACAGTAAGTAATGAGTACTCCTCGTGTAATCCAAATCTTTCTGGTTTTTGTCTTTTAGATAATGATTTTTTACTTGTTTTAGTACTGCAGCGTTCGATTTCATTCGCCTAAAGTTAAAAATCTCATCAAGAGTTTAAGAGACCAAATTACAGTTGTCTTGAGAGAAAGTCACTTTATCTTTGTAACAGTTCTTGACATGGCCCAATAAAGAATTCTCTTGACACAAATAAGGCTCCTGAGGTTTATTGAGTAATTCACTAATCTTCATCTTCTAAGCATATCGGAGGACCCCAAAGACTGATATATGGTCCACTTAAACTCGTTAGCTGCTCCGGGCAGTTTTCGTTCTAGGCTTCGCTTTCCAAGGCTTTAATATCGTTCACTGAATATTTTTCCTCGTCAGTTAAGACGACACATCCTATCTCTGACGAGCGCTTGCTTTTTCCAGCTTTTATAATGACTTCTTTTGGAACAATGGTTCAATCCTTTATTTGTGTTCACATGTATTACTTTTCTTTTATATTTATTTAGAGAGAATGTCATCGTTTGTTTCTGCATTAATTCGATTAAGTAAATTATTATAATACTATAAATCTTCAGAAAACAGTTTCTATTTATCGTTTTTCAATTATTATTTTTTTACTTTGTCAATATACTGTCCCAACCTTGGAGGAGGGGGTGTCAAAATCTAAGTTATTGACAAGCCAGCTTTCGAATATTTGTTACTTTGCAGAAATACGAAGTTTAACATAAAAATTATCAAATTATGTCGACAACCCGCCAATCATCAATCACTGCTGCTTCATCATTGATTTCTACCTATTGTTTCTCAGTATGAAGGATAGAATTCATCTTGTGGATATGTACGCACGCAAATGTGTACAATGTTTCTCAGTTCATGTACTTTTGCAAGTACTTTAAATAATGAAAAGACATTAAATAAAGTACATACAAGCTGGATATTTTCCACATTTTTATATTTTTTCTATGTCTTGCAGCCCGGAGGGCCGGACTGCTCTATACATATAAGTTTAATTTTTGTTGTATGGGAATTAAGGTGGGAGAAGTTGTTCAGAACTGATGGTTACTTTATATATACATCAAAAGATTATACATCAGAATGTGCATTCCCGTAATAAATTACGATATACAAAATATACTGGCTTCCTTGAGATACATGTACATCGTTAAAATATATATGTTCTTCATTTTTATTATATAAGTTGCTTATCATTTACTATCGAAAAAAACGACAGGCCCTATTTTTAGAACATAAATTGAGTCTAGTTATATTTCTTGGTGATAGGTGTATCTGATTTTCATTTATATTTTATGCAGCCGACAGTAACTTAAGAAATTGATAAAGTTTAAACGTGTAACGTTTTCGTTCGATTTTGATGGAATCCGGATATTATGGAATCCGGATAGGGTCATGCAGTTCACTATCGCATCATCGCACCATCGAAATCTGGGTTGATAATGCGATGACACGATAATGCGATGACGATGAAGCAATGGTGCGATAACGATGAAGTTTTGTTGCGATAGTGCGATAACGATGAAGCAATGGCGCGATAATACGATGGCGATGGTGCGATAGCACGATGGCGCGATGGTACGATGACGATGGTGCGATGATAAGATGGTGCGATAGTCGATACTCGATGGTGCGATAGTGAACTGCGTGGCCTATGGAATCCGGATAGGGCCATGCAGTTTACGATTGATGGCGACTTATAGGTCGATGGCGCGATAATGCGATGGTGCGATAACGATGCGATGGTGCGATGACGATGGCGCGATGGTATGATGACGATGAAGCAATATTAACTTTTACTCTATCGTTCTATCGCACCATCGTCATCGCTTCATTCATCGCACTATCGCACCATCACTTCATCGTTATCGCACCATCGCTATCCCTATCCGGATTCCATAGGAATAGGGAAAACCTATGGAATCCGGATTGGGCCATGCACTTCACTATCGCATCATCGCACCATCGAGGTTTAGGTCGATAGTGCGATGAAGAGATAATGCGATGACGATGAGGCGATGGTGCGATAGCGATGAAGTGATGGTGCGATAGCGCGATGACGATGATGCTATGGCGCGACAATGCGATGACGATGGTGCGATAATGCGATGACGCGATGGTACGATGACGCGATGGTGCGATAGTGATGACACGATGATGCGATGACGATGGTGCGATAGTACGATGACGATGAAGCGATATTCACTATCGCTCAATCGTGCTGTCGCACCATCGCCATCGCATTATCGCGCCATAGCATCATCGTCATCGCGCTATCGCATCATCGCTTCATCGTTATCGCACCACCGTTTCATCGTTATCGCGCCATCGACCTTTAAGTTGATGCTCGATGGTGCGATAGGGAAGTGCGTGGCCCTATCCGGATTCCATAGTGCCCTATCCGACTAGAAACTTTCAGTAAATCTTCTCCACTATAGTCTCAATCATTCAGACGCCTGTCTTTATAAAAAAATCAAAGCGGTTTGATGATCAAGAGTAATTTCTATTGTTTAATTCATCTATTTCCCGGGCGACAATTGATGGCTTCATCAATGTTTTCTTGTATCTTCACTGCTGTATGTTTTGAAATCATGGCTGCTTTCTAACCCCCCCCCCCCCTTTTTTTAGCATGATTCATTCCGTCTTTACTCATTTTGCTATATAGATTATTTCATCCCTAGTCCTACCGTGTACCGTTTTGTTACCTTAATACGCCCTAACCTCTGCACCTTGATCCTTGTGTATATCTTTGAATCTAGGAGTTCCGTTTAGCCTAACTCTTTCATGCTATTTTGCTCTGAAGAAAAAATAGTAATAACTCCCCGCTCGCTGTCTCCGGTCCTCGACTTCACGAATTCAGTCTTATTGTATCTTCACTAGTGCTTACGACCTGTCACGGCATTTGTGGATTATTGGCAAAATGTTATTATAACTTGTAAATGATATATTTAATAGGAAAGAGTTATGCGGCAACTTTAAACGAAACATACGACAAAATGTACCAATTTCACTGTGTCTGAACTGGACTTTATGACTCTAATATAAAAGCGTTTTTTCCTTGGAAAATAGTCATTCGATACAGAAAGTACATTTAAACCATTGTCAATTTGCATTTAGAGGAATGATGAATGATGATGTAAAACATTGAATTAAAGATATTTGACTTTTTTCCGAAATGTTTATCGATTTACAGTTAAACAAAATTAAGCACTTTTCGTACAAATATCTTCAGCAATCATAGAATAGCTTCTTGAATTACTGCATAAATGCGATTTCATCAATGATCTTTTCTGATCGCAACAACATGCGTTTGTGAAACACTATGTGTCTGGAGGCAACCAAGTTAGAAAAAGCTATTTTTAGCATAGAGGTCACAGTCAAGGTAACAAGGTCATTGACCTTGGTGCCATTTGAAAAAGCGTAATTAGTGGAGTGTGTATACTAAATATGAAGACTTTTTTCTCATTGGTGCTATTTGAAAGAGCGTAATTAGTGGAGTGTGTATACCAAATATGAAGTCTTTTTTTCTCACAGTTCAAAGTTTATGGCAAAGGTTTAAGTTAACAACAAACAGGCAAACAAACAGACAGACAGGACAAAAACAATATACGCCCCCGATCTATCGATCCGGGCACATGAAAAAATTTGATACATTGTTGAGAGCAGAAAATATGCAATTACTTAAGTAACGAGAGAGGAGAGAAATGTAACGGACCAGACCGGGATTCGAACCTCCCCCCCCCCTGAATCTCCGGTCAAGTGGTCTGGCGACTGAGCTATCTGGTCACTGGCGATCAAACCCAGCTGACCGACACATTCAGACCGAATTCTAATTCCGGTCTGATCCGTTGCATTTCTCTCCCCTCCCGGTACACTAACATTTTAATTTTGAATCGATGTATATTTGTTCTGCTGTTTTGAACGATATTTTGAATTACTAGTATTTTAATTCACCAGCATTAGTAATGTCTTTTCTGATACTTACGCAGTGCAAGTGATTGACTTCACTGATGCACATTGTTTTTGCTTTTCTATGATTTATACGGTTCCTCTCACCGACTCTGCCACACATTTTTTCTTAGCTCACCTGAGCCGAAGGCTCAAGTGAGCTTTTCTGATCAAAATTTCTCCGTTGTCTGTCGTCGTTGTTGTCGTCGTAAACTTTTCACATTTTCATCTTCTTCTCAAGAACCACCCACTAGGCCAATTTGAACCAAACTTGACACAAAGTATCCTTTGGGTGAAGGGGATGAATTAGTGAAAAATTAATAGCATTTTTAAAAAATCTTCTTCTCAAGAACTGAAGGCCATGTGGAATCATCCTCAGGTAGTGTAGATTCAAGTTTGTTCAAATCATGACCCCCAGGGCTATTGTTCAAATCATGAATTAGTGAAAAATTAATAGTTTTACATTTATATAAAAAAAAAAATCTTCTTCTCAAGAACCACTGGGCCAGGAAAGATGAAACTCATGTGGAATCATCCTCAGGTAGTGTATTCAAGTTTCTTCAAATCATGACCCCCAGGGCTAGGGTGGGGCCAAAAAGGCTGACCAAAGTTTTACATAGGAATATATAGGAAAAATCTTTAAAGATCTTCTTCTCAAGAACCACTGGGCCAGGAAAGATGAAACTCATGTGGAATCATCCTCAGGTAGTGTAGATTCTACTTTGTTCAAATCATGACACCCAGGGGGGTTAAAATTCAAGCCCCCCCCCCCAGTAAACTTTCAGTTTTGATCTGATATGTGCTTTTTCCTAGTCGATGTGCTTAGGTGAGCGATGTGGCCCTTGGGCCTCTTGTTTTAATAAGAGTCCTACAGAGATTAATCTATACACATACGAGGGCTGTTCAATAAATAATGTGCTCAGAAAGAAGCAAAAGACGCTTTTCAATGATTTAGTCTTAATACACTAACTTAATCTCTTTCAATTAAAACCCATGTCGATAATTTTTTTATCAAACTTCTGATTGCTTTTGGAACTCATTTTTGGGTATGACCCATGGTATACTGGAAAATGGCAGATCTTATGATTTCCTGGACTAGTTTCTTCGTTGTGAAAAGTGTTTTTTTCAGGTTGGAAAATGAAACAAGCCAAAAGGCGAAAGATCTGGCGAATATTGTTAGTATGAAAAAAATCACTTTCTGTTTATCCCAAAAACTCCTTCACTCTTCATGGCGTGCGGTTTTGGACGCTGTCATGAAGAAATTTAATGTTTGGGTTCCTGATTCTGGTTCCTTCCTCTCATTAACCTTTCGATTTTTTGAAAAAAAATTGCTTTATAGACAAGACCACTAACATTTAAGAAAATTGCATATATAATTGTCTTTGTGCTCTTGCAACTCTTTGCTCCTCTCAGACCTTTGCTGTTTTTGTCAAGTACATCTTATTGTAAATTTTGTTCCGATGGTTTTTAGCAATAGATTCAAGTTTCATTATCTGTTTGAATTTCAAACAAACTTGGATAACTACAGTTTTTCATTTCTTAAAATAATTGTTTAGATATTCTTACACGCTGTTGTTTTCATTCATTTTTCAAAACATAGGGTGACCTTTGAGTACTAAGCTTTTTTACTGTCAAAAGTTTCTTTAAAACAGTGTGAAATACTTCCAAAATGTTGTCTATCATTTGCTATGTGTCTTAAAGTCAATCATACATCATCAGTGATTATTTGTTGAAAATTGGCAAACAGTACACGAGTTGTTATAATTTTTTTGGCAAGGACGGTACCCATTTTTGATGCCCATTATATAGTTTTTTATCATTTAAATCCACCTGCTCATTTGTCTGTAAAGCAGACATTGGCTGCCGTAAATGTTACATATTTCAGTGAATATTTCTTTGGGATTCTTAACGAGTTTTACAGCAGCTTGAATGAAGCGTTTAATTTCACTCTAGTTTACTGATTCTTTACCATTCATTTTACATGCAGTGTCTCGAATAGTCCTTGTTTTCCAGCTTCTCACAATGAAACTATGTGATAAAAAGTGTTCACATAAATTATTACAAATTCATTAAATATTCAATAATGCGAAAAAGTCAAGCTTAATGTCTTATGATATCTGAATTGTATGTCATACAGTTCAGGACATTATTTATTGAACAGCCCTCGTATTTACACTTTTCTGCTATTATAATTTTAATTCACTATAGTGATGACATTATTAAATTACGGATTTTTTTTGTATAAAATTGTAATTACTGTATAATTTGTGTAAATGCTACGCTTTGGGATCAATAGGCCACATTTGAAGTTTGTAGATATGAATGTTGAAGATGTCTTCGCTTTAGATTCTGTAGATCATAGTCTCTGTAATATTGTGGAAACTGTACTAAAATTGTAGATGCCTTCGGTTTGGGATCTATAGATCCCAGTTTCTGTAAGTCTATAATTTCTGTACAAATATTGTAGGTGTCTACGCTTTGGGATCTATAGATCACAGTCTGATCCCAGCCTCTGTAAGATTGCGGTTACTGTACGAAAGTTGTAGGTGCCTTCGCTTTGAAATCTATAGATCCCAGTTTCTGTCAGTATATGGTTACTGTTCAAATATTGTAGGTGCCTACGCTTTTGGGATCTATAGATCCCAGTCTTATGATATTGTGGTTACTGTACGAATGTTGTAGGTGCCTATGCTTTGGGATCTATAGACCCCAGTCTATATAAAATTGTGGATGAGGATGATGATTATGAAATCCCTTTGGATCATATCGGGAGAGTTTGGTTTGCTGTGGAGTATGAAAGAGAGACAGAAAAACTGCTGGTGACACTCATGAAGGCAAAGAACCTGCCGACGCGACAATATGGCAACAACAGCAGTTGTGACCCATTCATCAGGTAAGACCTAAAATATATACTAATAGTGATATACAGTGCATAGTGTACAGGAACGAGTTATGCCAGAGGTATACAGTACCAGGTTGTACCACTTGTGTATAGTGACAGGTATACCATAAATATAATTATGTTACGAAGTTTTTAGTCGTAAAGGAATCTGAATAGTTTTCATTTATTTGGTTTTTTAAGGGGGGATCCTGTTTTCTCTGTTCTCGGTTTGTTTAATGTCAATGGACGTTTGATTCTGTTTGTTTTTTCATATTTCTTTTTCCAGTCAAGCTTTTGAGTTGCATGATGATGAAACCTTGTTGTTGAATATTCGTTATCTCCTAAAGCAATATTAAGCTTCCTATTCTTTTGGAAGATACGGTAATACATGCTGGGCCATATTTAAAACTATGTACTTATGCAGTGATGCCGATTAAAGTAGTCCATGTAGAGTTTGTAATGATCTCCTTCCCAGAGAGCTCAGTCTTGTGAAGAAGATATTGATATCAGGCTTCCTGAATGATTTCTCTGAGACTAAACAGATGGTCCTTTTCTCTTTATAAAAGTATAGCAAACAAAAGGTAAAACATATCTGAAAAATGTCAAACATATTAAATACCTTTTCTCTACTCATTATTTGAATTATTAGAGCATTATTTGCGCGTGTTTACTTTGGGAATGTTTAAATGAAGATCAAATCTTACTTGATTTTTGAAATCGCAGAACCAGTGTGTGTCTTAATGGTTTTATGATTGTTTATTGCTATAAACAGATCACCATTAATTAAACGTTCAGAATAAAGATTGTTTTCTTTTCTGAGTCTAGGCTCTTTTTCATAA